AAAACGATAATATTATGACTTTTTTAAATTGTAAAGTACGTTGGAGACAAATTTCTCAAACTAAAAAATCCCAGGATTTTTCAATGGAAATCAGGCCTTTTCTCCGGACTTTTGATTTTTTCATCTGGTAACGCTACCCGTGAGGGCTAGAATGGAATGCCCTATATAGGCAGATACCAAAGAGCAGCAAGCTACTCTGGCCTTTTATAGTCAAAAACTATTCTAGTTTAGGTAGTAAATTGAGATAGGTGGCTAGCCCATCACCTAAACTGTCATCAACTTGATATCCTATTAGTTGCCTTTTTCAAAAAGCTAGCCAAGTAAGGCAATGAGCACTTGTTAGTTAGTAGTGGCTCGAATAATCACATTATTCCTGCCCACACGCAAAATACGCGCATAGATGTGGAGTTGCGGAAAACAGCCCGTCGTAAACTAAACTAGTTAGTTAGTTTATGATGGGCTGTTTTCTCCTACTCCACGCCTAAGTGCGTATTTTGAGTGTGGGCAGGATTTATATGTAATTATTCGAGTCATGAAATCACCCCGAAGAAATTTAACAGTCCTTTGTTGTTGCAAGTAACTTTAAGGAGTGATCCCGGTGTGCCCAAATGTTTAGCCCTGTATGTAGCAAACTCTGGATATGTCAGCAAGAAGTGGGCCGCAGTTTCTTCCTCACCCATACATGCTCTGCTCAGAGAACTGTCAGTAACACCTATGGTAAATAAATGTTTGTTAAAGGAGTGACGTCCCATGATAGCACTTGTTACTATCCTAATCTTTGGCTTGTTCAGTCTCATTAGAACCTTGGTTAAACAACTGTTTATTGCAGACAGGGCCTCCTTAGCTTGTCTAAAGTCTACTAGATTTTTCCAAAACTGAGCGGGTTTATTAGTGAAGCCTCTATGTACCAGTGAACAAATGTTGAATTTTTTGTAGGACGAAGGGGATTGGTATGATTGATTCTCGCCCTATAGTGGCCAGAGCTGATTCTCTTCTGGCCAGTTTGTCTGCTGCATCGTTGCCTCTGGATCCACTGTGTCCCTTTATTCATTGAAGTCACATTCTTTTGTTTACATACCTCTCTCATTTAATTGTTGATGGCATTCATATATTAGTACCGAGTTCACCACATTGCAACTCGAGAGCTTGCAGTACCGCCATGCTGTTGGTCAGTATTCTGATGGAGAAATCTTTTACTTTCCAGCATCTATTGCTATGGCCGTGTACATGTATGTAGTATGTACATAATGTAGACATTGAGGTCATCAGAGAAAGTTCCAGATCCTGCACCTTCATTTGTTTTAGAACCATCCGTGAAAACTCCCTCTTTTGAGCTTAATCTTTCCGGCTGGCTGGTTTCATTTAATTGTATCTTATACTTCTTATCAAATACAAATTGTTTGGGGATCTTATCGTACTTGGCTTGTAAAAGGAATTTTAGAGTAAATTCTATCAATTATACCTGTCTAAGGGACTCCACTCTTACTCCAAAGTTTGGGGTCTTGAGTCTAATGGCAGCTAAAGTCACTTCTTGTTGTATGTGTAGATGAAGCAGGGTTAGTTCCAGCATAGCCTCTAAGGCTGCTGTTGGTGTAGTCCTTATGCAGCCTGTGGCAGCCATACATGCCAGTCTCTTGTAACGCTGAAGCTTCTTTATAGTGGTGGCTTCATTTGTTTTGGTCCACCATACCAGAGCGCCGTATGTGATATTGGGCTGAATTACAGTTTTGTACAGCCACAGTATAATTTTTGGCGTCAGACCCCATTGTTTACCAATCATGTTTCTGCATTGCCAGAAAGTTATACTAGCTTTGTTGATTTTGTTTTCTATATTATTCCAATTAATTTTACTGTCCAAGGTAAGACCTAAGTATTTTATCTCAGAAGATAGCTTGAGTTTTGTGCTGAAAAGACTTGGGAGATGATAGTTATTCAGCATTTGTTATTGTGTGTACATTACTAGGACAGTTTTATTTGGATTAACGGTTAAGTCGTATTCCCTGCACCATCTCTCCACTATAGGGAGAGCCACTTGGGTCAGGTTGCACACCATGCTTGCTGATTGGCAGTAGTGATTGGCATTTAATTTGCTGATGAGTACATTAAATACCATATTCCACAGGAGAGTTGAATGATCTGAATTATTAATCTGCATTGCTTAAGATTCACCAACAATCTTTATTGTTCGTGTACTGAGCATGTTTACTATCCAGTCAATTAGTGCCGGTTCAACTTTATGTCTACCTAGTGCACCTTTTATGCTGGAGAAGTTTGTTCTGTAAAAAACACCTTCTATATCTTTGAATGAACTTAGACATATAACTTTGTTTTGGATAGCCTCTTCAATCGTTGTTATTACCTGTTGAAGTGCCGATTCTGTCATTTACCTAAGCTGTAGGCGTAAGTTCATTATCGCTGATCCCCTTAATTCCCTTTCACACATCCTTTCCATCATCTTTAGGAGAAAGGATGTGAGGCTGATGTGTTTGTGAGATTTAGGGTCTGTATAGTCGCTCTTACCTGGTTTGGGTATGAATGTGACTCACTTCCCTCCATCCCCTAGGAACATATATAAGAGCCAGACATGCTCTCATTATGGCAACAAATCTGACTATTAGGGCTTTAAAGTTGAGTAGCTTCCGTCGGGTTTCTTTAAATAGATGGATTCCAGCATGTTCTGTTTAGCTAGAATTTTGCATATCCGATTCACTTGTTCCCAGGTTTCTATGTTACCACAGAATTTACGCCACCCTGTTGAGCGTCGATGCCTGATACATTTTTTGTATTCAGACTTGGCTTTATTGCATAGTAGCCAGTCTTCATCGATTGAGTTATTTATGGCTATTTAGGGCTTTTCTTACCTTCTTACGTTTTCTATCTAGTTTCACTGTGGTGGAGGCTGGCCTGCATTAGGCTAGTTCTGGACGAAGGGCACGCCATAATTGATAGCGTACTCCCCGTCCCTGCCCAAAAATAAGTCTGCTAGCAGATCTAGGGTCTCATCCTCAGCCACTGAGTCGGAATTGGACGGCAAAATTAAATTCTCTTCGTCACACTCAGTGAGCTGCCGCTGAGCCCGATCTCTACTAGGGGCTTCGGCTCGGCCGTTTTTCACTGGATTTGGCATCCAGTGATTCCGCTGTACCGGTAACCATGGCCCCAGTATCCATAACTTCCGGGTTGTTATCTGCCTCTTTGCTTGGTGGAGTATCAAACAATTTACCTCCACGACCCTCGAATTTTACGTAAACCGCCCCAAATAAACGCAACGGGGTTCTGGCTACTCAAGGTCTTGCAGATTATCTTCCTCTGTATTGTCACGAGCAGCTACTTCCTTCCCCAGTGACGATCGGCTCAACCCTCCAGGACTCCTTCATCCCCGCGCACGGCTCTCGACCGAGGAAGTCCTAGCACAGCTGTGTGTGTTAGTTCACCGGATACAGCCACTCTCTCCGGCGGGACCACCCCTCTTTTATCCGGGCTTGAGACCGGCTGCACCAAAAAGCACATGCGGAGTTAAATAGGCACTTTTTTTGTTGTGTCGCAATTAAACATGGTATCTATTAGTCCCAGGCCAACATTGGATATTTTAAAAACTATTTCACATTTGTGACGAAATATGGCAGTTCTAAAACACATCTACACATCATCATTTCATTACCCTCTTCAAAGCACAATTTTAAACAAATTAAAACTGCGTGGTGGACCTAATTTTCAAGGATCATTATAATTCATGTTTTAATTACAATTTTAAAAAATGTTTTCCCTATACTAGGATTTTCTTTGTACCGTTGAGGTGTTTTTTTTTATTGTATAAGGGTGACAAACAAGCACACAGTCCACCTGATGGTATGTGGTTGCTGTGGCTTATAGACATCTACATCCATCCTCGTTTGCAAATAAAATGCAGATGCGTTGTCAGCCGTGAGGACTACGATGGAATGCCTCTTTTCCAGTAAAAAGGGTCTCCAGTTCTCTACACTCACCATACGAAACACATCAGCATTTAGCTGCTATTTTATGCTGGTATTCTGTGAGAGCGTGGTTCTTCCCCGGTCTTTAGCCGACCCATTCGTGCTACAACTATACTACTAATATAGTTGCAGCATGGCTCTACCACGTAAAAAGTGTGTTTACATACATAAATTGTTGTTATAGTTATTTTTTTTTTGAAATTTTGAATTTTATTATTAGACAGGCATTAACTTTACTTTGTATTTAAAAATCAAGGTAAAGTAAGTAAAGTTAACAGGTAAGTAAAGTTTGGGCGCAGGCCAAAGGGTATGTTGCAAGAAACAACAAGACCTTCAAAATGAATGATGTAAAAAAACTTTTCGATGGACTAAATGAAGTGACTACCGAAAAATGGAGTAGCTGCGTGACTCACATATTAAAAGAAGAAAAAATGTTTAATCTCGACCACATGATCGATAGTGTCTCAGACAAGTTTATAATAAATGTTACCGTGACAGTGACAGTGATGATTTTATATCTGATGACGATGAATAAAAAAATGTAATACTTAAGTATGACGACATACACTATGGATAATTTTCGCCTGATGAACTGACAACATGGATGTACCTTAAATAAATTTTGACGTAATTTTTAAAACCTTCAGTTAATAAAAAATATTTTTTTTATCATTCAGTCGTTTTCTTTATCAGTTAGTCCTTTTGTTTTCCGTTCAGTCATTTAGTCACAACGCACAACACTATTTTTGATTCATCAAAACCTGACAACCCAGTAAACGTCAGGCAGCTTCGTTTAATTAAAATACGACTTAAATGAAAGGTCTATGAGTACATAGGTAGATAATATGCTGCCGAAAAGGTCGAAAAATACTACATAGCATATTGATAACTTTTATTAATTTACAGTCTGTGTTAAACGTGGATTGCACTTTATTCAAATATTTACATATAGCCATCTTTTATTTTCATTTATAGCTCTGTTAGCACTATATAGTACTCAATAGTTCATAGAAAACTAACTTGCAGATATACTTCGGCATCTGTGTGACCACAATGTTGGTGGCCTCGTGGGTAGCAGTGACACACTGCATCAAGCATATGTACCTTCAGGAGTATCCGCCTGTGCATGATGCTCCGCAAAGCGCCGACCCTTCGACTTATAACTTCACTTCCAAAGTTCCTACTCATGTAAGTCATTACTTTGTTTGCGGACTGTTCTCCTGTATCTTAATCAATTGATGTGTTTTGGTTTGTATATAGGATTGCTAACTTTGTTTATTTAAATATAGAATTTTTGAGGTTATTAGCTGTCTAAATATAGTACTTAGATTTCGAAAAAAAATTACATAATTATAATATTTTTCATCAAGACCATATAAAATCTCCATACATTAAGATGCCAACGCATCGGCTTTTAGCTGCTAGTGTGTTAATGTATTAGTAATAATAATATTTATTTAATTGTATCTTTCAATAGATCGAGTGATGTCCTGGCAAGACATGCAGGAAGTCAATGAATGTAGTTGGTTCAGGACTATGCTTTGTAACATGCCTTGGGGAGGCAGTGGGTAAATCATTACAGACCTTTACAAATACGCAATGTATTTGTATAGGGCTGTACTGATAATAATTGATGACGTTATAATCATTTTTTTTTTCATTTTTAAAGGAATATTTATAAGCTAACAGCTTACAGCTTTTTATATATGTGGCAGTTTTGCTAATATAATATATTTTTAGAAATATAGTACCTCTTATGTTGAAGAATGCTTAGCACAGAATGAATAATAGTACAACATAGTTCTAGGTTCCCAGCACTCACCATTATGAAAAAGAAGTATTAAACTGCACTTAAATACAAGTGTGTATTTATGTACGAGTGTGGACAGGCAGCTCCTCTTTCAATCTTGATATTTTAGGCTCTTTCTACATTTAAATCATGTTTTTTATCCAAATATTTTTGGAAGTGCTTTTTTCCCGAAAGGTGGGGGACAGCTAAATTGATTTATCCTGAATCGACCCCGTGTAGTGTACCGTGTAGTGGCGGTTAAGAATATCCACTACCCCATATCTTCCCGTGGGTGTCGTAAAAGGCGACAAAGGGAAACAGGCAGGAGATGGGCAGCAGCATCTTCCTGATATTAGTCAAAATAACAATAAAAAAAACTGCGGTTGCCAACCCGCTCGCCAAGCGTGGCAACTATGGCAATATACCCCCCATGAGCAATGACAATAATAAACGGCCCCCAGTCCCCGGCGGCCCCGCTATTCCTGGCTACGGTGGCGACCATGGTAACGGCGGGGCAGGGGGTGCTAAGAATCTCCGGTGGAGGTTCGGTTGCCACCTACGACGACTCGACCTGGCAACATACAACGCACGCACCCTGAGGACTGACGAGAAGATTGTGGAGCTGGAAGAAGAGATAGACAAGTTACGCTGGCATATTATAGGATTATCCGAAGTCCGAAGAGAGGGGGAGGACACGGTAATCCTCGAATCCGGCAACTTGCTCTATTACCGGGAGGGCGACCATCTGTCCCAAGGAGGTGTCGGATTTATCGTCCACAAGTCTCTCGTTAACAACGTTGTAAAGATTGAGAGTGTGTCGACGAGGGTTGTGTACCTTATACTCAGAATCACCAAACGGTATTCGCTGAAGGTCATACAGGTTTACGCACCAACCTCGGCACACTCCGATCAGGAGGTGGAGGAAATGTATGAGGATATCTCTAGAGCCATGCATTCCTCCAAAACCCAATATACGGTGTTAATGGGAGACTTCAATGCAAAACTAGGCACAAGAGAGAACGGTGAGCTGAAAGTAGGGAAATTTGGAATAGGGCAACGGAACCCAAGGGGCCAGCAGTTGGCTGACTTCATGGAGAAAGAGGGACTCTTTATGATGAACTCTTTCTTCCAGAAGCGGCCCCACAGGAAGTGGACCTGGTCGAGCCCCGACGGTTCGACAAAAAATGAGATTGACTTCATTATGACGACCAGACGACAACTGTTCAGTGATGTCTCAGTGATCGCGAGGGTGAAAACCGGCAGCGATCACCGAATGGTTAGAGGCACACTGAACCTAAACGTTAAGTTGGAGAGGTCTCGTCTAATGAAGTCAACGCTCCGTCCCCCTCGTGCTCTAATCCAAAGTCCCGAAATCTTTCAGCTCGAGTTACAAAACCGTTTTCAGTGCCTAGAAGACTGCAATGAAGTGGACGATTTGAATGACAAGCTCGTGGAAACTGTCCATGCGGTCGGAGCTAAGTTCTGCAAGACCCGCCGCAGAAGATTACAAAAACTCTCCGATCACATTCTTAATCTCATGGCTGTTAGACGGGAGATGAAGCTACATTCTTCAACAGATTTAACAGCATACAGGCAACTGAACAGACAGATCTCCAAATGCATGCGGCGGGACTTACGCAACTTCAATACAGCTCGTATTGAAGAAGCGATCGAGCGGAACCAAGGCTCCAAAGTCTTTGCCAGAGATCTGTCTGCCAGAAAGCGCCAACTGTCAAAGCTGAAGACAGAATGTGGCAGCATCGTTTCCGGGGCACCTGAGATTTTGAGTGAGATTGAGAGGTTCTATGGGCAGCTGTACACGTCATCGTTGGAGCCGCACGCAAGTGTGAGTAACGATCCAAGAGCGAGTCTTATCCGACATTATTCCGATGATATCCCGGACGTCAGTCTGAGCGAGATTAGAATGGCTCTCCAGCACCTTAAAAACGGCAAGGCCCCAGGCGAGGATGGAATTACAGCGGAGCTTCTGAAAGCGGGTGGAAAACCGGTACTTGAAGTCCTTCAGAAGCTCTTTAATTCCGTCCTCCATGGTGGCATTACACCGGAGGCGTGGAGCAGAAGTGCGGTGGTCTTGTTCTTCAAGAAAGGCGACAACGCTTTCTTGAAGAACTACAGACCGATTTCCCTTCTGAGCCGCGTCTACGTGCTGTTTTCGAGAGTCATTACGAATCGTCTCGCGCGCAGACTTGACGACTTCCAGCCTCCCGAACAAGCCGGTTTCCGAAAAGGCTTTAGCACCATAGACCACATACATACCCTTCGGCAAATTGTACAGAAGTCCGAGGAGTACAATTTGCCACTATGTCTGGCGTATGTGGACTATGAGAAAGCCTTTGATTCCGTCGAAATTTGGGCGGTGCTGCAGTCCCTTCAGCGATGCCAAGTTGACTGTCGGTATATCGAAGTGTTGAAGTGCTTGTACAGTAGGGCTACGATGGCACCCGAGTACAGAACCAGAGTACGAAACCTATCCAATTGCAGAGAGGTGTAAGACAGGGTGACGTCATATCCCCGAAACTCTTTACCGCTGCATTGGAAGATGTTTTCAAGCTTCTGGACTGGAAAGGATACGGTATCAACATCAATGGCGAGTACATCACTCACCTTCGATTTGCCGACGATATAGTCCTTATGACAGAATCGCTGGAGGACCTAAGCACTATGCTCAATGACCTCAATAGTGTCTCCCAACGGATAGGTCTTAAGATGAACATGGACAAAACAAAGATCATGTTTAATGTCCATGTCACACCTATGCCGGTAGTTGTTGGGAACACTAAGCTCGAAGTTGTTGACGAGTATGTTTACCTGGGACAAATAGTCCGACTAGGTAAGTCCAACTTCGACCGAGAGGTCAATCGACGGATTCAACTCGGTTGGGCAGCGTTCGGGAAATTACGGCACATCTTCTCGTCAGGTATACCTCAAAACTTGAAAACGAGACTGTACACCCAGTGCGTGTTGCCAGTGATGACATACGGAACTGAGACGTTGTCCTTCACTGCTGGCCGGATGAGGACGCTCAAGGTCGCTCAGCGAGCTATGGAGAGGGCTATGCTCGGAGTTTCTCTGCGTGATAAACTCAGAAATGAGGATATCCGCAGTAGAACTAGAGTGACCGACATAGCCCAACGGATTAGTAAGCTGAAGTGGCAATGGGCCGGCCATATAGCTCGAAGAACCGACAACCGATGGGGAAGAAAGGTTCTCGAGTGGCAGCCTCGTACCGGTAGGCGAAGTGTAGGGCGTCCCCCCACGAGATGGAGTGACGACCTGGTAAGACATGCAGGAAGTCGATGGATGCAGGTGGCTCAGGACCGTGCTTTGTGGCATTCTTTGGGGGAGGCCTATGTTCAGCAGTGGACTTGTGAAGGGCTGTAATGATGATGAATGATGAATCGACCCCTGCTCTACTTATATTCAAACTTGAGGCCAAATCACCGCGCAATGTCCTTGTTAAATCTTGATGTAATATTTTTTGGAACGAAGTTCTTTATCGGACGGTGCGGATTTGATGGATGGGGGCTAGCCGACAAAAAGTGTAAGATTTTTCCGTCACGAGTAACGACTCACGAGCTCACGACCCTTTCTGACGTAGTGTAGACTGCCTTGGCGGCTATAAGGAAGCAAGATGGAATAATATCCATCTCCCTCGCACTTTTTCTTATCTTGCTATTAAAGAAATATTATTTTATTTTAAATGTCGCTTCATTTTAATAGGCGCTAAAAGTTCATTTATTTGTATTTGTTAATCAATAATATTATACACTTATCAATAATAATATACTACGAAAGGAACTTCGTTCCAACCGAATGTTCCACGACACTCACGCATATTTTTTTTTTTATAATACATATGCACTACTAGTCAAATTGCATCCCTGAGAATTAAATTAGAATCTTTACAATAATAATTATAACTTTTAACAAAACTAAAAACCGACTCCAAATTGCTAAAAAAGAAGTTACTTACTTGATACCCTCAGGGGTGAATTTTTTTTCTCCTAATTTATATTTAACCTTATTTACCCTTATTTAATAAAAAAAGAATCATCATAATTGGTTCACAATCTGCGAAGATATCGCGTAACATACGTACAAAAAAAACATACACTCGAATTGAGAAGTCGGTTAAAAAGGCTTCCAGTTCTAGTCACACGCCATACGAAATGTCAGAGTTATGCTGCTATTTTTATTTTATGTTGGTATTCTGTGCGAGCGTGGTCCTTCGGTTCCCTACCCGCTTGCCAAGTCTGGTAACTGTTACAAATATCTTTCTATGAGGCAATCTATGGGGGAGGCCTACATTGTGGACTTTGATAGGCCGTAATGGTAACGGTAGTCCTTCCGGACCCCTCGGGCGAGACTATTAATTCATGCTTCAGACATATATCCGATGTAGCGACAGCCTCGTTGGTCTAGTTGCCGCAAGCGCGTTGAATCATGTGATCCCGAGTTCGATTTTCGGGTCGAGAAAAATTCAGTTTTTTTGTTAAGCAATTCTCAGCAGCAGTTCAGAGACAAGAAGTTGGCAGTGTTTCACCCCCGTGACTGAAAGGACACATAGGCCGTTGGTACTTTAGTTTATTTCTCTTTTCGGTGTCCGGATCTTGAATGCACCATAACGCTGTCCTGCGATTGTAGACCGAATTTCGTTCACGTCTACGAGTATCAATGACGACCAAATAGCTGGTCTGCATTAAAACTGGTAGTCTTGATCGTCACCGTGAATGGACTACGTGAATTCGGTCTGGAGGACATTATTACAGCTAAAGCGTGGCTCTTTCACGTTTTATACATCAAATAGTTCTTGTGAGAATTGCCAGTAAAAAACAGATGGACGAATACCAAGTGCTTCCATTAGTGTATTGATTTTTTGATTGCCCACAGTACACTGAAAATGAAGAAAAGACCACGTATTATGTATTTATAATTGGCACATAAACTAATAATCATTAATCAATAATACATACTTATGTAAAAATGACTAATAATGTATTTTTTTTTTCCTGCCAGCTATACAACGCACCGTTCTTCACAGCGTGGTTCTGTACCAATTGGCTGATCTTGTTCTACCCTCTTTACCTGATCGTAATGCTCATACACAACAAGTGTAAATCGGCTCACGACATCGTTTTCGATGCTTTTAGCGACTTCAAAGAAAAGGGATTTACTTTTGGTAAGATAATTTCAAAGATATTATTTTAGAAATATATTCTTGTACTTCTTCACTATTCCGCAGAAGTCCACTGCAGGACATGGGCTTCTACTGTTTAATGAAGATTATTATGCGTTAAACTATGGCGCTGCGAGTCTTGAGTTCGATTCCCCACGAAACAACCTTGTGCAATTTATGTGTGTAAAACGGTTTAACTATATGGGAGAAATTCCTAGTGTACGGATAAATTAGCCAGTTTGTAAACATGAGAAAAACAACTTGTGTTCCTTCTCCAGGCATACTCAACGTATTTTTTGAACACGCTTTTACTAGCTTGGTGTGTATCTATATAACGGAATTTTTGAATGCGATTTTCATCCTCTTCAAAACGTCGGATTGATTTGAAACTTGCACACTTATCAAGGGCCGATGACAATGCAATAATTTAAATAGTTTGTCCCATTATCCTTGATAGGATCCTCAGGATTTGCGAATAATTCATAAAACAACTACGATTTCTACCAGTTTAATCTACTGTAAGCCGCGTAAAAGAACTTCGTTCCACAAAAAACACGGTTTTGTAGTTAGCCGCACTAAAAAATAGATCTATACAAATAAATAAAATTAAAGTGTTCTTGTTTGTAATGTCAAAATTACAGTTTTTTACTAAATGCATATGAAAGTAAATACGATACCTATAACTAAAATACAATTTTCAAAAATTTTGTCTGTCTGTCTGTCTGTTTGTTCCGGGTAATCTCCGAAACGGCTGGACCGATTTTGACGGGACTTTCACTGGCAGATAGCTGATTTCATAAGGAGTAACTTAGGCTACTTTTATTTTAGAAAAAGAATCAGGGTTCCGCGCAGAAACATAAAAACCCTAACACGCGAACGAAGTCGCGGGGAACAGCTAGTAATAAATAAAGGTTTAAAAAACTAAAAAAACATGCTTTTGTAGATAACCGAACTAAAAAGTAGAAAATAATTTTCAATAAGTTTAAAATGAGAAAACATTGATTAACATAAAAATATCATTTTATAATGATTTCTTATATTTACGCGAACACTACACATTGAATAAAACTACTTTTACTTAATTAACTTATTTTTCTTATTTTTATTAATTCCCGATGTCCTCCGTGACCATGGGTGCTGGAAAGCACCCAAAACGTCGAGAATTAAGTTAATTAATAAAATAAGTTAATTAAAGGCGATAAAATCCGTAAAAAGTAGTTTTATTCAAATATCATTTTATTGTACAAAAGCGTGGGGTGCCAGATGTCATTTGTTGTAAATATTTTTGTGGATATGGGGATCACGGGACGAAATGGGGATTATTCTTACGCTGCCACAACACAACTTACGACGTTATTAGGTTAGTAGGTGCTTTGCACGTGTTACAATTACAACATGTAACACGCACTTCAGTTAACAACGCGTTCTTAATACAAACGTTACCAACTTATATGCTAAGACAGTAGCTCTTAAGGTGTACGTTTGCTATACGATATTCAACCTTAATTGGGTACCCAAATTATAGTTCGTGATTGTACAAAGAAAGTAGTAATTTATTACTGTTATTTATTGGGTATTTATTACGATTACAATGTGGGTGTCTTCAAGGTAAACGTTAATAGGCTTTTGTTGAGCTAAGTCGCACTGGGAAACGTGAAACATGAGATGGGCAGCAGCATCTTTCTGGTAACAACACAAAATAATAATAACCGGCCAAATGCGAGTCGCACTCGCGCATAAAGGGTTCCGTACCATCGTAATAAACGTTTCTAGTAGGGGAGCCACCTTTAATTTTTTATTTATTTTTATAACTTGTTATAGCGGCAACACAAATACACATTCTGTGAAAATTTCAAAAAATCTTCACAGATTTTTTAAAATTTAGCTAAGCTAAGCGTGGCAACTATGGCAAAGTCTAAGAGGTAATCTATGGGGAGGCCTATATTCAGGAGTGGACTTTTGTTGGCTGTAATATATGAAGCAAGTCAGTGCGCTTTACTATCTTCGGTTGCATCACCACTTACGATCAGGAGCTAATGTAAATCTTGACTAAATTAGCGTGGTTCCACCAGCCCGTTTCCTGACACGCTGCGGGCTGTTCTGCCTGCTGTGGGTGCTGAGCGTGTACATGTACACCTACGCGCTGCGTATTCTGCTGGCCACGGATGTGGTGGCGCTATTCGCAACCAACGTCTCCTGCATCTACCTGCTCTCCTGGGTCATCCTTCACGAGCAGTTCGTCGGCGTGAGGGTTAGTTATCACTCACCACGATCAAAATTCTAAACTTACTTTACCGATAGTAACAATAACAACTAACTTATATTTAAAAAAATGTGCTAGAGCCACCAATACCTGTAGGCAGTTTTGTTTAAAAAATGGTTAATGCATTTGACCTCGTTTATTTGTTCGCATATTTGTCATTAGTTTTAAAATCAATAAAAGGTGAACTTTTGTTAGAATCAAAGTTATTGGTGACTTGCTTGTCTTTATGATATATTATTCAGTCTGAATCAGAACTTGGAGTCCACTGCTGAACATGAGTCTCTGTCAATAGGGAGGATTTAGATGCACTCTGGTCTGGTTCCTGATCATGGTATTTTAAGGTCAGGTTGGACAAAAATATCATATTTTCGAGAGAATTTATACTTCTTGTAATAAAAAATAACTAATATTGAATCGGCTGCATTATTATTTAGATAATTTGTTTCCTGATTATAAAACGTTTAAATTAAAGTAACTTTTTGTTGACCGAATATTGCACGCTTACTTCGTGCTGGACAATTATGTGTGTAGCGGAAAAGGGAGCGCTAAAAGCCTTTTAACGTCGGAAATCCTCGCCTTAAGACTGGCGTAAAAGGATGGTTATATCGCTATCTAACGGAATCGGTGAGATCTATCTGCCATTTCCCATAGTCGCCTCTTACGATACCATCGGGACGAAATGGGGTGGTGAATTCTGTGTTACAGCGCTGCTTTCGCACCACTAACATAAAACTAAATCACGCTATTGAAGTTTATTTTTTTTAATAAGAGAGGGGACAAACGATCATACAGCTCACCTGATGGTAAGTGACTATTGCCGCCCATGAACAACTGCAACACCAGGGGAATTGCAGCTAGCAGTAAGCTCTTTTCTTGAAGGTCCCTAAGTCGTGTCAGTCCGGAAAAATCGTCGGTGGTAAACTATTCCACATATAGATCGTACGAGGAAGAAAACCCCCTAGTAAAACGTACAGTGGTGGACCGCCAAGCATCCAGATGGTGTGGATGATATCGGGAGTTTTGCCGCTATGTGCGTTCGTGACGTTTGGCGGCTGGGATTAATCCGAACAATTCCTCAGAGCACTCTCCGTGGTATGATAGATAGATGCGAAAGTAAATGCAAAGGGATGCAACATCTCTTCGCAGCGCCAGTGAATCAAGCCGATCGGAGAGGACTCGGTCGTCGACGATTCGAGCCGCTCTGCGCTGGATGCAGTTAACTGGAAGAAGCTGTCACTGGGGAGCCAGCCCAGAGATGGTCATAGTATTCCATGTGAGGCCGAACCTGCGCCTTGTAAAGTTGCGGGCGGTGTGCCGGCATGAAATACTGTCCCGCTCTGCTGAGCACGCCAAGCTTTTTAGAGGCCTATTTGGCCTTCCCTTCCAAGTGACTACGAAACTGCACAACATTAGATATGACGATGCCGAGGATTTCGATACTGGCTGAGGCAATAAGGGGAGTGCTTTAAAACTGAGGAGATACGAAAAAGGGGTTCTTTTTTGCGGTAACTGCGAAAACTTGTCTTCTAAGAATTAAATTGGACTAGATTTAGTCGCCTCCAATCAGAGACTTTCTTCAGCACTCAACTTCAAGGCTCGACTTCAGACACAAGTTTGTTCCGGTAGTCGGCGACGTTTACCCCAGAAATATTTGCACGGCCGGTGTATAGAGCATCACCAGTGCTGTCGTCTTCATAGCAATGAATGTTACCGATTTACAACATACGAGTATCATTGATATGCAGAAGAAACAGCGTTGGTGATAGCACGCAACCTTGTGGTCCAAGTTGTGGAACACCAGCATTAATAGGTTTGTAATCGGAGCATGCACCGTCTACTACGACCTTGATGCTCCGATCTGTAAGGAAGTTGGTGATCCAATTAGACAATTTCTCGGGAAGCCAATAGGAAGGAAGTAGGGATGGGCAAGGGAAAAAATATATCGATATATATTGTGTGAAATATATCGATATATCGTCATCATTTGCATGATGTAAAGAAAATGTCCAAATTTTTTTATTAAAACGAAATTAAAATTAAAGCGACAACAAAAAAAAACGACAACCAACCACACATGAATACTTTTGTACCTCCTTTTGTTCTTACATGTTTTGTCATTAATACAACATTTTAAAATATATCGGGATTGATACGAATTCGATACTCAAAAATAAAGATCGATATATCGAAATATCGCCACTTAAAATATCGACGATATTTTGATATATCGATATTTTTTGCCCAAGCCTAGAAAGGAAGCTTCGAAAGAAAACTGCGTTTTCCAATCCGCCTTCTAAGCGTGGCAACTATGGCAAAATCCTATCTATAAGGCAATTAATGGAGAATGTCCATGTGCAGCAGCAGGAACTATTATTGGCTGTGATAGATGAAGCCGAGTCAGTGCGCTTTACCATCTTTGGCTGTATCACGACTCACCATCAGGTGGCATATTAGTGAAGCAAATAAATGTAAATGGATAATGAATGGATTTAATTTAGTATTTTTATTCGGTGTAGATAGTGGCGGCGATATTATGCGACACTGGCATAGCCCTGTTGGCGTACATGGACGGCATCACGGGCAGCTCCACGCTAGGCGGAGTCGTGCTGGCCGCTTGCGCCGCTGCTGGATTCGCAATATTTAAGGTCAGCATTTTGTTTTCAACGAGTAGTGCATCTAAATTGCTACTCGGTTGCTATTTTTATAGATTTTATCACGTTTAGTTTATATTTTATTTTTAATTCCCGATGTTTCGGGAATTATAAATAAATTAAGTTCTTAGGATAGAATCATCCTCAGATGCACTCATGATGGATGGTGCAAATATGCGTGCGTTACAACATAAAATACAAGAAAATATTAGCAGATCCTTAGCAGTTCGTCGCAAATGTATGGTACGCTTCCCGATGATGTTTTTCTTAAAATTATATGAAAAACCACGGTTGCCACGTTACCACATACACGACACTTCGCTAGGGTAAAAAACCTTTACTCTCGATCTTACCAGTATTTTATAGACGTGCCGACATATTATATATAACAATCTTTTTATTAATAATTCAACATGTTTAAATTAGCCGTGTAGTGGCGGCGACAGCCACTATCCCCATATATAAAAAAAAAAAAACAGAAGATGGGCAGGTGCATCATCGTGATAATAAATCGTAATAATAAAAAATGCGGTCGCGAAACCGCTTGAAAACGTGGCAACTAAATTAGATATCTATCTGGGACAATCTATGGGGAAAGCCTATGTTGTGTAGTGGACTTTCAATAGGCTGTAATGAATAAATTAACGATTATATAGTTAACTGTGGGGCTCCACTCGACGGGAATACTACTTCGCCACCCAATCTTTGTTTACAATCAATTAAGCCTATTACAAAATCTTTTCGAAACTTCACAACGACCTTACGTGTTTTTAACTAATAAACCTAATAAAGAGTTTCGTTTTAAACGTTTTGATTTTGATTATGTAATGAAGTAGACGTGTGATTTTTCTTGCGATTATTAATTTAGAATTAATGTTTTTATGTTCGTTCAACATGCGATGTAAAGGGCACGCTAGTGCGTGATATAAAAGCTTCACATTTAACTTACTTTTAAAGGAACAATTAAACTGTTAAATGTGTTTCAACATTTACAGCGTAATAATTACCTTATTGTTTGCTAAGTTTTCTGAAAACAGTATTCTTTAATGCAGATAAAAGTAAACAAGTAAAACAGCCTATACGTATATACTATACTACACGTACATATATAATATACATATTGACGGCACCGTGGCGCAGTGGCTTTGTAATGAGTTGTTGCGCTGAGTTCGAATCACGCATGGAACAAGTATTTGTATGGCCTACAAATAATTGTTCCGGGTCTGGATGATTGTCCTCGTGCAATTTATGTTTGTAAACTGCCTCCACGATACAGGAGAAAATACTAATGTGGGGGTGACGTTTAAAAAAATAATATACCTGCTGAGCACAAGCCTCCTCTCCTTTCTGTTAGGGATGCTGCAATAAGTCCGTCCTGCTGCTTCAATGCGAGCTGACAGACAATTGAAAATGTAGTTTGTTGATTTAGAGACGATTTTTCAATTCTCAGGTAAAAGTTATTCATAGTATAGAATACAACAAAAACAAATTAAAATTGCTGTACCAGCAACCTTAGGATTTATTCTGCGATTCGAATTACGGTCACCACTTTTTGATTTTCTCCTGATATTTTTTTATAGAATAAGAATGAGAAACGAACACACAGTCCACCTGATGTTAAGTGCATACTGGGGCCCCATAGACATCTACATCTATAAAATAGAATGATTTTTTATTCAATATTGATTATTATTACATAATACGTATTGAAAGTCATTTTTTATTTACCACTGGTTCAGAAAATACCTCTGTCCTGAGAAGAACCAGCAAGAAACCCAACGCGAGTTTTTTTTTAAACATATTTCACTTAACAATAATTTTGTTTGTACAATTTTTAAATGAATTTTCAGAGAACCAGCATGGTGGCGATCACTATTCCCAGGGGTTATATTCATTCATGTATTCCTTGATATTATAATAATAACCCTTTTTGTACAGGTTTTCTTTAATAAAACTTTTAAACTTGTTTATTGACAAACATGTTCTGGGATTTTGTTGTAAAAGCATATACATTGCCTAATAAATGATTTACTGATTCTGTGGAGTCTAGTAACCGGCATTACAAGCTAATATTTATTCCTAGTGTTTAAAGTATGAACATCCTTATTCTTATTAAAGCTATTTATGTTTTCATGTACATACATTACATTTTCATAAATATATTGCGATGCCAAAATTAATATGTTTATTTCTTCAATATTTTTTCTGGGGAACTCTTTACAATTTATATTATAAATCGCCCGTACGGCTCTCTTTTGCAAAACAAACATGGCTTCAATATCAGTCTCACTACCCCATAGCAAAATTCCATAAGACCTTACGCTAAGAAAGTAACTAAAATAAACTAATCTAGCTGTCTCAATCAATATCTATGAGACTTTTAATCTTTCTTACAGCATATGCTGCAGAACTAATTCTGCTTGCTAATTTAGATATATGGGCGCCCTATTGAAGTTTCGTGTCAATAGTAATACCAAGAAAAACCACAAGACTATCTATCAAGACTATCCACAAGACTCAACTCCCCATTTAAGAGCACATTGGTATTCGAATGTTTTACATTAGGTATTGTAAATTTTATACATTTTGTCTTATTGCCGTTTAAAAGCAAATCGTTGGCGTGAAACCAATGTACTAATTTCGAAAGAGCATAATTTACATCGTCATAATTAATTAACTGCCGTTTGAGTTTGAAAATTAAATAGGTATCATCAGCAAATAATACCATATCGTGATTGTCCCCTACAAGATAAGGTAAGTCATTAATATAGATTAAGAACAGGAATGGGCCAAGAATCGAGCCCTAAGGAATGTCCATTGATACAACTGATCGGGAGGAACCTTTACCATTGATCACGACTTTTTGAGTTCTATTACATTTTTCGCCAAATTTTTTACACCGTAATGTAGTTTCTTGATTAATGCTCAAGATGAACACAGTCGAAAGCCTTTGAAAGATCACGAAAAATATCTAAGGCATCTTGTGAATTATCCCAGGCATTAAAAATATTTTATAAGCTCAACACCAGCATCCAGATGTCGAGCGACCCCTTGTTAAACCAAATTGGTTTTTATGAAGTAATTTATTTGTATTAAAAAAAATTAACAATTGATTCAAAATTATTTTTTAAAAAAAATTACTGAGAGTTGGTAGTACAGAACAAAGAGAATATAATCACTACGTTTAAGAGGCGGGACTTCCATAGTAAAAATAATTGCATGAAATTACGCCAAGTTACTCTACCAACATCAAGATATGACATTTAGTTTTGAGAAACAGTGCTGACAACATTGACGAATTACAGTAGTGCTGTAAATGTCTATCCTCGAATAATTTTATCGATATAACCTTTATCGATATATTGTTTATCGATATTTTTACATAAGAAAAGTTAGATCTCTATACTGAATTATTTATGAGAAATAAAATTTTTAACGTGTGGATTGAGTAAAAATGCCGATGAGGATAAGAAATCAATGTATTTTACACACAACAATTTGTATTTATATCTCTACAATTAGGTACAAAAGTATGTATAAAGAAAATATAAAATAAAAAACGCACTTTTATACTCGTAATTAATTAAGTAAAAAATAAATGACGACTCCGTAGCGCAGTTGCTAAGCGTTTGGCTGCGGCATTTCAGGACCGAGGCTTCCTTCCCGCACTGAACAATTGATGATATGCTGTAAAATAAATAGTCTGCGTCTGGATGCTTGTTTTCAGCGATAGTTTTTTTAAGGGTAAAAATATTGGGTTTTTAATACTGATTGGATTAAATTGCTTTTATGTGTAACAAATACTATGTACAAATCGCTAGGCTTCTTCACAGAGGCACCTATAATAATAATAATAATAATAATATTCCACAACTATCACACAACGCCATCTAGTCCCAAGCTAAGCAGAGCTTGTGTTATGGGTACTAGACAACTGATAAACATACTTATATATTTCTAAATACATAAATATTATAGATAAATTACACCCAGACACAGAACAAATGATCGTGCTCATCACACAAACATTTGTCCTGGGTGGGAATCGAACCCACGACCTCCGGCATAGTAGTCAGGGTCACTAACCACTAGACCAACAGGCCTGTCAGGCTATGTACATACTATTTGCAGAGATCGTTTACTAATTGTCGCTTTCAAAATAAGTGCTCATTATAGCTTATGTTTATTGATGAATAAAATAATGATTTAGTTCTATAATCTAATTCTTGCCAAAATGTGACTTTAGTGGGATATTATCTTTTCCTACATGTAAATGAAACCTAATTAACATACACATACATTGTGGAAGTTTAAAGTAAGTCCACTAAAGAAATAACAGTTCGTTTTAGTTGGGTTCATATGCAATATTTGTCACAAATATGTCGTAACATGTGAATCTTTTCAATTGGTGCATGTGCCAGCTATTTCACCCATTGCTTGCATCTGAAAAAATAATATAAATAAAATCACATTATTATTGAATAAATAGAATGTTAGCAGTCACAATTGACTTGTAGTTTCTAAGTATAGTTCGTTTCGGGTTGCCAAACCATCGAACTATCAGATTTAGGAAATAGTGTGTTTGTATTTGTGCACACAATCGTACACTATAAAAACATGTCCTACATAGATGGCTAGTCCAAAAATATACTCGCGTTGAATATCATATTACTATTAAAGTTAAAATCACCACATACCTTTCATCATCTAAGGGAAATATTGTTACGAATAGCCTTTTCTTGTTATCATTTTTTCCGCTTCTTGCACCATTTAATTGGTAAGTTTTATAATGCATTATTTAATTTCTTAACAAATCTGTAAATGAACAACGGCTCCTATAGCAAAATTAAAAGCAATCTTAATTAATAAAATATATACAAATATAATTGTTTGATTTGACATTTGAACCTATTTCATTTGACAATGTCGTTAATAGACATATCACGAAAAGCATAAAGAAGAGTAACCGTCATTAAAATTTGACCCCTGTAGTACATATAATTTTTACTATGGAAGTTGCACCAGCCTGGTACAGAAATACACTGCCGGCCAAAAGTTTAAGACCACACTTAGACAATATAATTAGCTATAAATTGTAACGAAATCGCATACGATAAATAAAAGAAATGTACACCTGCATATTCTATTGTTAATATCGAATATCTAATGAAGTCATTCTTTTATTTACTTTCAAGTTATTGGACAATAAACATGTATTGTTTTCAAACACCGACAAACGCTGCGTTAGAGCCAGGTGGTAGAGTCGTAATAATATTTTTATGATAGGCTAATAAGTAATTGCTTTGCTTTTGTTTCCCATTGGTCAATAATTAGGATTATTTAGCTTCTAAAAACACGTGTTTCCGACTTATTATTACCTGAGTTTACATGATTTGTTCACAAACATTTTGGTTTGTCCTCCTCAGAGCCCGGACCTCAAACCCATAGAACTTTTGTGGGAAGAGCTTGATAGGAACGTCCGTAATTGTGATCCATCCTCGCGAGAAGAAATACGGAATGCTTTGTGCGAAAGTCGGAGCAATATATCACAAGACACTATCAACAAATTGATTGTCCGTATGCCGAGACTTGTGAAAAAAGTCATAGATTGCAAAGGAGGATTTTTTGATGAAAAATTAGTTTAGCTAACTATAGCCTTTTTTAGCATGGATTGTTAATATTTCTTTACGCTTTTCAAGTATATTGATTGTCAAAAGTGTTTTATTGGATGATTTTACAGTTTAATTAAACATTTAATATTTTATTGGAGTTTTATTTAATTTTCCTACTTTAATTAAGGTGGTCTTAAACTTTTGGCCTGCAGTGTATGAATGGCTGGATAGTTTTTAACATATTACACATACTCTTCTGGGGCAGTTGAGTGAAAACAAGTTAAATTTCGTTGGTTTACAAATACAATTTGGCTAAAACTAACACTAAAATATGTAAGATAGGTTAATATCAAAGCATTCTCTCTGAACCACTGTTAAATGCTGCTCTTATGTTGTATCATTTAGTTAGTATATTGTATAAGTAATTTAATAAATTGTTTTGTGTTATTTAGTTATAAGGTACAATAGGACTGAGATGTTAAAAATCACGTGTCCCTTAATAAAAAAAGAATAAAAAAACATAAAATTTATTATTGGTCTTGGAATTACGAGCACAGGCCTAACTAGTTGTAATAATCACTTTATCGCTGTTTATAAATTACATTAAACGTAAAGATAAGGTTACGTTCTTTGCATATTTAATACGACTGCGTATTTGGAAAATACTCTATACATCTTTTATACATACATAAATAAATTTTAAGTAGGTGCCTTCTATCGAGCTCAAGGGGTTATATTTGCATGACATTAAGACATGAATAACAATTTGTAATTTTTTGTGTTTTTCTTTTGTTTTAAACGCGTTACTCCCACACTAAGATTTTCTCCTATATGGTGGAGGCAGTTATTTGTACCCGGAACAATTATTTGTAGGCCATACAAATACTTGTTCCGTGCGGGATTCGAACCCGCGGCCCCCAGCGCAACAACTCATTGCTAAGCCACTGCGCCACGGAGCCGACTATATTTGCCTGTTTGTCAGGGCTAATCTTCGGAATGGCTGAATCATTTGTATACAAACTTCCGTAACAAATAGAGAGCAATGTCAAGAGTGACTCACCTATATATTTTATCCGAAAAGCTTTGAGGTGTTTTGTAAAATGGAAATATTAATAAAGGAAATGGTCATTGATGAATATTTTAAAATCTAAATTACCCCACTTCAGAGTAAAGTTTTTTTTCCACAGGTGCTATTCAGAAAGGTAATGGGCGAGGTGAACTCCGGGCAGCGGGCGTTGTTCTTCTCGATCTTGGGCACGGTGAACGCGTCGCTGCTCTGGCCCGTGTGCCTGGCGCTGTACCTCACCGGCTCCGAGATGCTGCCGGCGCAGCGCATGCCCTGGCTGCACCTGCTGCTCGCCAGCGTGGCCTTGCTCGGTGAGTGAGGGACTAAACAAAAATACGCTGTCATCGCTGTTTCTGTCTGTCCCTGCATCACGTTTTGACGTTGTTTTGTACGTGGTGTAGCCATGCTGCAGATATACTATGATAGTAGTGCAAACGGGTCGCCTCGACCGGGGCAGGACCACGCTCTCACTGCATATCAGCGTAATATAACAGCTCAATGATGCTGTGTTTCGTACGGTGAGTGTTGAAAGCTGGAGACCCTATTTACTGGGAACGAGGCAGTTCATCTTAGTCCTCAAGACTGACAATGCATATCCATTTTGATTTATAACCGAGGATAGATGTAGATGTTTATGGTTTATGGGCCACAGTATCCACTTACCATCAGGAGGACTAACTTATTTTGTTTTTCACCCTTATTTTATAAAAGAATCACGTTCTGATAGCTGTTTCATTAATTACCCACACAAATTAGTAAAAAATTCCATACAGGTGACCTGACTTCGGACATGTATCATCATCATCAATAGTATCATCATTCATAATTTTTATATAGCCAAAAATCGGACCAATCTGTTAAGCTAGAACATCAACTAACTAGGATAACCATACACATCAAAACATTACTGTCACCGCTGGGCCTAGAAGCCGTACGCACTGTATTCTAGTGCCTCACTACAGGCTAACCTTGCCTTCCATGTATATGTATGTGTATACGACGCATCGAGGAGGTTAAAATACCTCAAATTAATGCCTAAATATGTAATACCTCACAGCCTGGTTAAAGTTACTGGCTTTTCTTTACTTCTAGTCAAGCTTGACTGGAGTGTCTAGTAAGTAAGTTGTCGAAAGAGGAAGCAAGCTGCCATCTGGCCAGGCTGACATTGTAGCTGTGCGGCGCAGCATGTATCATTCAAAATCAAAAGTTTTATTCAATTTAGACTTGTTTTAATTTTGTATGAACATCATAATCTATACCGCTTCGCAAAAACAGGTGTTTTGCAAACCACAGAGATATTCTTCTCAAAGGTCAATAAATATTTTTAAAATATCAGTTTTAACAAAAACATAAGATAAAAAAAATAATCATACTCAAACAGTTTTACGATGTTCATTTTAAACTTGTTTCAGTATTCCACCTGGTGTTTCAATTTGGCAACATTGTGACGTACAATATATTCGTCTCGCTCGGTCTCATCACCGCTGTACCAGTCTCCGCAGGTGAACACAATTTTAATTGGTTCCGATTTCTCTAGTCATTCCTTCTAAAATGTACAGTTGTGAATGTGATTCTCGTTCATAGTAGTGAGCTATAGCAGGCCTCTGTCACTCTTGCTACCTGCGCGAAATAATTACCTACAATCGCGAGCTGCCCCAGGGCTAGATCGCAGTCGGGGCTAGCGCGCTCTATACGATTGAATGTTAAAGTTTTTTTTTTTAACGCCGTTTATGTAAATAAATTTTTGTAAATACTTGTTGAGATACTCGTTGAAATAGTTTTTGTTTAGTGTTTAGTATATTTAATTGTAGGATAAAATAGTTGAAATTTTTTTAATGTAATTTATTAAAATTTTTTCAACTATTTTATCCTACAATTAAATGTATTATTATTTATATGTATATTACCTATCTATTTGATAAATTATAATGGCAAAACGTCGTTCTTACTATAATAATTGTTGCCGGGATGGATGCTTAATGAGCATTTAAAAGGATTCAGATATATCATTTTTTGAGTTACCGAAGGATAATGAAAGGTAAATTTATATCATTTTTTTGTGAGATAAGTATAGCGAATTAATTAAGTAATAATTTAACTACAGAAGTAATACCTAAGTGCTTTTTTACAAAACTTAATTGAATATTTCTTCACTACCCATGTACCTACTTACATACCTATACTTGTCTTTTTATTAAATTATTTTAAGTTATAATAGCACAAAATACTGAAATTTAAATTTTGTTTAAGAGATTTTTAACTAAGTAGATTACGATCATATTTCTGTTAGGAATCGTATTCCGGGTTTATTTGTTGTTTACGCTATCTACCTAATACGAACCAAGCATCGCGATTCCAGACGAATGGCCTTGCAAGTTGCATGCGTTGGGCATCACAGAACTCACATAGTAAATAATATACTCGATTATAGTCAGCATAGGTACTATACCGAAGTAACTTACCATTTCTTGTATTTTTTTATTCTTTATAAACAGCCCTTAGCAACCACGGAAAGTCCGTTGTGACTGAGTATAATAGTGGTAGAGCCACGCGCAGCTTTCGCTGTTGCACGGATGGGCCGGCTCGATCCGGGGTGGTACCACGACCTCACAGAATACCAGCGTGAAGTAGAGGTTTACCTCTGCGTTTCGCTTGGTGAGTGCAGGTGGCCGGAGGCCCTTTTTACTGGAAATGAGGCATTCCATCTTAGTCCTCACGGGTGACAACGCATCTGCATTTTGATTCGCAAGCGAGGATAGATGTAGATGTCTATGGGCCGCAGCAACCACTTACCATCAGGTGGACTGTGTGCTCGTTTGTCACCCTTATCTTATAAAAAAAAAAAAAAAAAAAAAAACGTAGTAAGGAAAAAGATGCAAAGTAATACGGTGTGTTGTCCTAGTTTGAATCCACGGCTGCCAAGCGTGGAATCAAACTATGACAAAATCCTCCCTTTAAGGCAATTTATGGAAAGGGTCTATGTTTAACAGTAGACTTTGGATTGATGGATGGATGGATAATTTATTTTTCTTGATGATTTTTATAGCCTTGGACGTGTTGGTATACGGTGCGCAGTTCGCGGGTATGAAGTTGGCCGGCATCATACTAATCGCGGTAGCCTTTTTCCTGGTCATGTTCCCAGACAACTGGCCTGACTACATCATGCGATTACTCAGGTATGTTTAAGATTTTGTTAGTGTAATGGTGAAACTGGTGGCAATCATGGTTGGGTGACATTTGACGTTGGGGTTTAATGTATTAATATCAGTATTGTTTACAAGTCCTTTTTTAACATTAATATCTTATTATAAGTTACATTAATATCTTATTATAGGTTACATTAATATCCTAATATCCTATAGGTCCCCGTGTAGTGGCGGGTAAGAATACTCACTACCCCATATCTTCCCGTGGGTGTCGTAAGAGGCGACAGAGGGAAACTGAGGCAGAGGATGGGCAGCAGCATCTTTATGATCTTGAACAGCAAAACAACATTAAAAAACTGCGGTTACCAACCCGCTCGCCAAGCGTGGCAACTATGGCAATATACCCCCCATGATAAAAGTTACAAAAGGACGGCCCTAGTCCCCGGCGGCCCCACTATTCCTGGCTACAGTGGCGGTCATGGTAACGGCGGAGCAGGGGGTGCTAAGAATCTCCGGTGGAGGTTCGGTTGCCTACGACGACTCGACCTGGCAACTTATAATGCACGCACCCTGAGGACTGACGAGAAGATCCTGGAGCTGGAAGAAGAGATAGACAAGTTACGCTGGCATATTATAGGACTATCCGAAGTCCGAAGAGAGGGGGAGGACACGGTAATCCTCGAATCCGGCAACTTGCTCTATCACCGGGAGGGCGACCATCTGTCCCAAGGAGGTGTCGGATTTATCGTCCACAAGTCTCTCGTTAACAATGTTGTAAAGATTGAGAGTGTGTCGACGAGGGTTGCGTACCTTATACTCAGAATCACCAAACGGTATTCGCTGAAGGTCATACAGGTTTATGCACCAACCTCGGCACACCCTGATGAGGAGGTGGAGGAAATGTATGAGGATATCTCTAGAGCCATGCATTCCTCCAAAACCCACTATACGGTGTTAATGGGAGACTTCAACGCAAAACTAGGCACAAGGGAGAACGGTGAGCTGAAAGTAGGGAAATTTGGAATAGGGCAACGGAACCCAAGGGGCCAGCAGCTGGCCGACTTCATGGAAAAAGAGGGACTCTTTATGATGAACTCTTTCTTCCAGAAGCGGCCCCACAGGAAGTGGAACTGGTCGAGCCCCGACGGTTCGACAAAAAATGAGATTGACTTCATTATGACGACCAGACGACAACTGTTCAGTGATGTCTCAGTGATCGCGAGGGGGAAAACCGGCAGCGATCACCGAATGGTGAGAGGCACACTGAACCTAAACGTTAAGTTGGAGGGTCACGTCTAATTCAAAGTCCCGAAACCTTTCAGCTCGAGCTACGAAACCGGTTTCAGTGCCTAGAAGATTGCAATGCAGTGGACGATATGAATGACAAGCTCGTGGAAACTGTCCATGCGGTCGGGGCTAAGTTTTGCAAGACCCGCCGCAAAAGAACACAAAAACTCTCCGATCACACTCTTAATCTCATGGCTGCTAGACGGGATATGAGGCTGCAGTCTTCAGTAGATTTGAGAGTATACAGGCAACTGAACAGACAGATGTCCAAATGCATGCGGCGGGACTTACGCAACTTTAATACTGCTCGTATTGAAGAAGCGATGGAGCGGAACCAGGGCTCCAAAGTCTTCGCTAGAGACCTGTCTGCCAGAAAGAGCCAACTGTCGAAGCTGAAGACCGAGTGTGGTAACGTCGTTTCCGGGACACCCGAGATTTTGAATGAGATTGAGAGCTTCTATGGGCAACTGTACACATCATCGTTAGAGCCACACGTAAGTGTGAGTAACGATCCAAGAGCGAATCTTAGCCGACACTATTTCGATGATATCCCGGACGTCAGTCTGAGCGAGATTAGAATGGCTCTCCAGCACCTTAAAAACGGCAAGGCCCCAGGCGAGGATGGAATTACAGCAAAGCTTCTGAAAGCGGGTGGAAAACCGGTACTTGAAGTCCTTCAGAAGCTCTTTAATTCCGTCCTCAATGGTGGCATTACACCGGAGGCGTGGAGCAGAAGTGCGGTGGTCTTGTTCTTCAAGAAAGGTGACAATGCTCTCTTGAACAACTACAGACCGATTTCCCTTCTGAGCCGCGTCTACGTGCTGGTTTCGAGAGTCATTACGAATCGTCCCGCGCAGATTTGACGACTTCCAGCCTCCCGAACAAGCCGGTTTCCGAAAGGGCTGTAGCACCATAGACCACATACATACCCTTCGGCAAGTTGTACAGAAGTCCAAGGAGTAAAATTTGCCACTATGTCTATCGTATGTCTGGACTATGAGAAAGCCTTTGATTCCATCGAAATTTGGGGGGTACTGCAGTCCCTTCAGCGATGCCAAGTTTACTGTCGGTATATCGAAGTGCTGAAGTGTTTGTACAGTAGGGCTAGGATAGCTATCCGAGTACAGAACCAGAGTACGAAACCTATCCAATTGCAGAGAGGTGTAAGACAGGGTGACGTTATATCCCCGAAACTCTTCACCGCTGCATTGGAAGACGTTTTCAAGCTTCTGGACTGGAAAGGATACGGTATTAACATCAATGGCGAGTACATCACTCACCTTCGATTTGCCGACGATATAGTCCTTATGGCAGAATCGCTGGAGGACCTAAGCACTATGCTCAATGACCTTGATAGTGTTTCCCAACGGATAGGTCTTAAGATGAACATGGACAAAACAAAGATCATGTTTAATGTCCATGTCACACCTATGCCGGTAGTTGTTGGGAGCACTAAGCTCGAAGTTGACGAGTATGTTTACCTGGGACAAATAGTCCGACTAGGTAAGTCCAACTTCAAGCGTTCGGGAAATTACGGCACATCTTCTCGTCAGGTATACCTCAAAACTTGAAAACGAGACTGTACAACCAGTGCGTGTTGCCAGTGATGACCTATGGAACTGAGACGTGGTCCTTCACTGCTGGCCGTATGAGGAAGCTCAAGGTCGCACAACGAGCTATGGAGAGGGCTATGCTCGGAGCTTCTCTGCGTGATAAACTTAGAAATGAGGATATCCGCAGTAGAACTAGAGTGACCGACATAGCCCAACGGATTAGTAAGTTGAAGTGGCAATGGGCCGGCCATATAGCTCGAAGAACCGACAACCGATGGCCCCACTAGATGGAGTGACGACCTGGTAAGATATGCAGGAAGTCGATGGATGCAGGTGGCTCAGGGCCGTGCTTTGTGACATTCCTTGGGGGAGGCCTATGTTCAGCAGTGGACTTGTGAAGGGCTGTAATGATGATGATATAGGTTACAAATAAGCAGTAATTCTTGCCGGCAAATGATTCTTACCATAATCACAATGCTGGTACAATGACTGCCTGATCAAAAACATTTTTTAAAATATAGTGCGAATCTGTATAATATTACGAAGTAGTAGACGAAAGGAAGTTATTAAAAAACAAATATATTTATAATGCTTATTATTTAGTAAGTAATGTGATTTTATAGAGGCTTTCGAAATTGGCTTGGTTTGGATTACAACTGACAAAACGTTGTGACATGTTACTAAAACGTGTATCTATTATTTTGCTTTTGAAATTAAGTATAATAAAACCAAGGAGGTTGTAAAATATAGGGAGTGCGCACTTCATGCTAGAGAAACGTTCCTAAATCAGTGACCTTGAAATGAATGAAAGACACCGAGTTAGGCATTGCATTTCTTTCTAATAGTATCCATGATACAATATTTTGAGAATATTATTAGTGTATACAGCATCACGGAAAACGAAATGCGTATTTTTTCAATATGGAAAGTGCTGAATAGTGTTATAATTAAACTCCGTTTAATATTTTGATTACATTATTGCTTCGCTACAGTATCAAACCTTACGGTAACTAGTGGCGGCGTAGCGTGAGTTGACACTTGTGGGTGACACCCAGGGCGGTTTTCTATCAAGCACCCCCCAAAATAAAACAAAAAATGCTATACATGCGAACGGGACTTTATTTTGCTAAAATATTCTTATAATATTTTCAAAGCTTACTTTTTTGTCATTTTCGGTAGATAAAATGGAAAGATTGGTTAGTCGCGCATGGCTCTTTGTGGACCTTAAGTTAGATTTTATTAACTTGAGTTTTGAAAAGCTTCCTTCACATGAAACTTAATAGTAAAAAAATCTTAGACACAGTGCTAGATTTGGAACAGATTTAGAATAGCCTAATTTTATGAGAAAAGCTCGAATGAATAGCATTGAATCGCTTCTTGGGAAGAAACTCTGGCAGCTTTCAAGTCGTAAAACCGTCAAAATTATATATACTGCAGAAAATTCATCGTAGATTTTTATCAGATTTTGAACTATTACACGAAGATCTTCATCTGGTGACGTTAGCAGAGTGTAAGGCTGAATAACACTAAATGTTACGAGAATATCATCCATTTCACTGTAGCGATGGTCTAGTTCCTCGTTAAATATGTCAAGACATTCTAACATAGCTCTCTGCAGCTTCTCTGGCAATTTTAGTCCAGCATATCGGGTCATTTCTCCTGGTAAACGTTTTCGATATCTCCTCATTTCTCTTCTTCCTTCAATCGAAATGCCCACATTCTCACATTTTTGTTACGTAGGAAATAGCTTTTTCCACTAGTTGATACGTTGGCTTTGAAGGAAAATTTTTCGGCTTTGATTATTATCTCATACTTTTCCAGTGATAATCTAGATTATTATTATATTATTTAGTATTTGCTTTTGTGTCTAACTAACTTCTATAAGGATTTTACTCTAAAAGGAAAGACAGCATAAAAAACTGAAGTCACACAAAAATAAGTCGACGGATGAAGGATGAAGTCGGCGGATTGGGACGGAATGCGGTCTTTCTTTGCTTCCTACCCATGGGGGCGGGTTTGCTTCTTGCCGGATGATCCCAGCGCTGTTGCTAACTCTGTCACTGATGTGGTGCTACAGGGAATGGAACTGTTTATTCCATCATCTGTGGTACCCATCGGAGGCAGATCTCAGCTTTGGTTTGGTCGCTCTTGTAAGACTGTATTACGCTGTAAGCAGGAGTGTTATCAAGC